ACACGTGTTCCCGAACTCAATGGCAAAGCAGTTATGACTTCATTGTTGTCGGCGCCGGAACTGCCGGTGCGGTTGTGGCCAACAAACTAAGCAAATGCCAGTCCGTGCGGGTGCTGTTGTTGGAGGCGGGCGGGCCTCAAAACGCCACATTTAATGATATACCAGGGTTAGTTTTAGAAGGGAATAGCTTTAATGTAAATGAATGGATTTATTACAATAAACCACAAAACAACTATGGTCAAGGTTACCCTGGGGGTCTTGTGCCTGAGAATAAAGGTAAAACTCTTGGTGGTTGTTCTGCACATAACGGCATGGCTTTTAATCTGGGTAATCGTCGAGGTTATGACGAGTGGGCCAATACGTACGGCGCCGTCGGTTGGAGTTATAGGGATGTGTTGCCGGTGTTCAGGGAGTGGGAGNATTGGCAGGTTTATAGCAATTCCTGGTTGATTCTGGTAATTGTCACCAACTGGTAGATCCAATACAACCGGTATTCCAAAACTTGCCGGTGTTCAGGGAGTGGGAGAACAATACGGATCCCGTAATTGTTGCCAATAATCCCAAATATCACGGAACTCGTGGTCCGATTCAGATATCGTCGGCAAAAGAATACAATTCTTTGACTTATTATATAAAGAATTCTTTGAATGAATTAGGTTTTGATGACACAGATATTAATGGTCCGAATCAGTTGGGAGTTATGAGTCCACAATCATTTATAAATGTCGTGGGCTTTAGATCGGGAACGGGTAATGTGTTTGTAGACCCGAATCCACACCCAAATAATCTTCATATAGTGTGCAAAGCATTGGTCACTAAAATACTGTTCAATGGGTTGACAGCCATTGGCGTCGAGTTTATAGTGAATGACATCTCGTATACGGTTTACGCCAACAAAGAAATAATTGTTTCCGGCGGTAAATAATTCGTTATTATTTAATATTAAAAATGATTTAATATCAAGTTAATTTTAGGGCCAATAAACAGTCCACAGTTACTCATGCTGTCGGGTTTAGGACATCAAAAGCACCTTGCAAGTTTTGGAATACCGGTTGTATTGGATCTACCAGTTGGTGACAATTACCAGAATCAACCAGGAATTGCTATAAACCTGCCAATAAAGCCTGAATACATTCCTCTATCACCAAACCCAACAAATGACGTTGGTCAATTGAGTCAATTATATTACAATCAATCTGGTGTATTGAGCCAAATAAGTAGTATTTATTTATATCACAATACTTACACCAATCGTAATAAGCAATGGCCAAACATTATGATTGCATTATACCCTGTTAATGAAACGATAATTATGTTCACGTTATTAACCAGATTTAAAAGTGTTGGCACAATTAGACTTCAATCTACCAGTCCTGCGATGCAGCCTATTATAGACACAAATTGGTTATCCGTACATCATGATAGTCAGGCATTATTTGAAGCCACATCATTTGCATTTTTCCTGCTCGAGCACTCGGCTATTGCCAACTATGTAGATATTGCCGACTTATTCACACCCATAGGCTGTCCGGTGTGTCCGGGAAAGTATGGCTACGAATGTGTAGAGGGTTTGCAATGTTTTATACGGTATAATACAATAAGTGGTTTACATCCGGGCGGCAGTTGTCGTATGGGAGCGATAGAGAGGCCGGACGTTGTGGTTGACCCCCAGTTGAGGGTTAAGGGTATTAAAAACCTTCGGGTTTGCGATTCATCAGTATTTCCAGTGCTTCCCAACTCTAACACCGCTTCGGCCTCTATATTGGTTGGATATAAATGTGCCAAATATATTGCAAATCACTATAATTTACATTAAGATTGAATTAATTCAATGTACATATTTTAATTTTATTTTAATGTAAAGTAAATATAGTGTTTATATTTTGTGTTTGTTTTTATAAAATCTATTGTAATGCTTAATTTTAGTAAATATTTAAACAGTAAAATGTTTAATTGAATTAATATAAATTTAGTTGTGCATTATTATAAAAATAAATTTTTAATTCTGATAAATTTTAAAAATGTACTTTATTTTAAATATTTGAATTAAACTTTTAATAAGGTTAATGACATAATTATTATTTGTAAATGTGGTGTTTTGTTAAAATTTATGTTTTATAATTTAACGATAATTAATTAATATAAAATGAAATTTAATTATTTTACAGTTTTAGCTTAAAATATAGTATTCATTAAATAAATGATTGATATATCGGTCTTAACTTACAAACTATTGGCCGTCGCGTGGATTACAGCCAAACGACAGCTCATTCACGACAACACTTGTGCCCGAACTCAATGGCAAAGCAGTTATGACTTCATTGTTGTCGGCGCCGGAACTGCCGGTGCGGTTGTGGCCAACAAACTCAGTGCCGGTCACACCGCAAGGGTGTTGTTGTTGGAGGCGGGAGGGCCTCAAAGTGCTGTTTATAATGATATACCGGGAATGGTTTTTGAAGGAAATGCACTCAATGTAAATGAGTGGATTTATTATAATAAACCTAAAAGTAACTTTGGCGTAAGTTATGCTGGGGGTCGGGTGCCTGAGAATAAAGGTAAAACATTGGGCGGTTGTTCAGCACATAATGACATGATATTCAATCGGGGCAATAGTCGTGGTTATGACGAGTGGGCCAATACGTACGGCGCCGTCGGTTGGAGTTATAGGGATGTGTTGCTGGTGTTCAGGGAGTGGGAGAACAATACGGATGCAGTAATTGTTGCCAATAATCCCGGATATCACGGAACTCGTGGACCCATTCAGATATCGTCGGCAAAAGATTTCAGTCCTTTGACTTACGATATGAAGAATGCTTTGAATGAATTAGGATTTAAAGACACAGATATTAATGGACCAAATCAGTTGGGAGTTATGATACCTCAATCGTTTATTACTGCTCAGGGCTTTAGGGCGGGTATGGGTACTGTGTTTGTAGACCCAAACCCATATCCAGATAACCTGCATATAGTGTGCAAAGCATTGGTCACTAAAGTGCTGTTCAATGGGTTGACAGCCATTGGCGTCGAGTTTATAGTGAATGACATCTCGTATACGGTTTACGCCAACAGAGAAGTCATTGTTTCCGCCGGTAAATAAATCACATATTTATAATACATTATATTATTGTTAATCTGCAAATATACTTTAAATTTAGGTCCAATAAATACTCCACAACTACTCATGCTATCGGGTTTGGGACAAAAACAACATTTGAATTATTTGGGAATACCTGTAGTATTAGATTTACCCGTTGGTGACAATTACCAGAATCAACCAGGAGTTGTTATATACCTACCAATAAAACCTGAATACATACCCATATCACCTAATCCACAATTTAATCTAGAGCAATTAAGTGAATTATATTATAATAATTCTGGTGTTTTAGGCGGATTCAACACATGTTATTTGTATTATAATACACTTCAAAATCGTAATAAGAAATGGCCAAACGTTATGTTTGTACTTTTTCCTCTCAATAATACACTAACCATATACATATTGCTAACTAGATTTAATAGTGTTGGAACAATTAGACTTCAATCAACCAGCCCGTTGATACAGCCTATTATAGACCCTAACTGGTTATCTGACCATGGTGATAGGGAGGCACTATTAGATGCGACGGCATTTGCATTTTTCATGCTCGAGCACTCGGCTATTGCCAACTATGTAGTGATGCCCGACTTGTTTACACCCATAGGCTGTCCGGTGTGTCCGGGAAAGTATGCCTACGAATGTGTGGAGGGTTTGCAATGTTTTATACGTTATAATACAGGAAGTGGTTTACATCCGGGCGGCAGTTGTCGTATGGGAGCGATAGAGAGGCCGGACGTTGTGGTCGACCCCCAGTTGAGGGTTAAGGGTATTAAAAACCTGCGGGTTTGCGATTCATCGGTATTCCCAGTGCTTCCCAACTCTAACACCGCTTCGGCCTCAATATTAGTGGGCTATCGATGCGCACAATTTATTAAAGACACGTACATGCTTAATTAAATTTACTGTGTTTTATTTTAATAAACATTTACCTTAATTGTAATGATGTATAATAAAATTAAGTATATTTGACAACGACATTGAAACGTTATGAATAAGATTGCATTTACACAATTAAAGGGTTTAGTAACAAATATGAGATAACAGTTTATTACTCATACCATGATATGAATGGTTTCACATAATAATGAAATATTTGCTTAACTAACGAATTTACTGATAGAATTGTTTTGTCAATGTTATTATATTTATGTGAATTAATTAATTTAATGCATGTTTTAAAAATATAGTTAATAAAATAATTTACATAATATTAACGCGCTTAATATATTTAATTGTTTTAAAGGTAAAATAAGCTAGCATGTTTTATCAAATAGAAAATAATTTTAGTAAAATGTGAAATAAAAGCTGTAATTTAAATATAAATGATGAAAAAAGTGTAGGGAATTTATATGATTGAAAAGTTATATCTCGTTCATACGAGTAAAGCAAATGCCAAATCAGTACACATACGGTGTGATAGAGTCGGTGCCCGTGTCTGTGGTCTGTGGGTCGTAGACACGGGCGCACACATCTGATCGGCATTTCATAGCATCTCGTTTTATACGAGTTAAGCAATTGATTCACTGCTAACCTAAACTTACAACTTACCTAAAACTGGATAAAGACCCGTTATACCCGTGCCCTACACTGCCTATTGGCCATTTGGTCATAAGCAACTAGGGCACATTTAATAAATCCAAAAACAGATGCACAACTGATTAACCTGATCTAAAAACGTATAATTTCTAAACATTAATTTAACAATTTGATGTGTGTTTTATTGAAAAAAGCAAAACATATTTATGTAATTTTAATTATTATTATTAATATAGTTTAATTATTAAGTTATGAAATAATATATACCGTAATATGAATATAAAAACTAATTAACCCACAATATTAATCTCAAGTGAATAACTTTTATATTATTTTAAATAATTTATTTATGTCAAGAACACATAATGTCAAAAGCAATTTTACAGCTAACTATAAATTTTATAAATTAATGAATAAATAATTTTTTAAAATTTTTTTTAATTATTAAAAGTATGACAGTTTTAACGCCATTTGCTTACCAACTATTGTCTGTTGCGTGGATTACAGCCCAACGACAGCTCATTCACGACAACACTTGTGCCCGAACTCAATGGGACTCATCGTATGATTTCATTGTTGTCGGCGCCGGAACTGCCGGTGCGGTTGTGGCCAACAAACTAAGCAAATGCCAGTCCGTGCGGATGCTGTTGTTGGAGGCGGGAGGGCCTCAGGACGCCCTATATAATGATCTGCCGGGAATGGATGGCCAAAGTCATGTTAATCAATGGCCATTTTTTAATGAGCCCAACCCTAACATTGGACAGAATTTTGCCGGTGGAAGAGTACCAGAACCCAGAGGCAAAACATTAGGTGGCAGTAGTGCTCATAACGGCATGATTTTTAATCGGGGTAATCGTCGCGGTTATGACGAGTGGGCCAATACGTACGGTGCCGTCGGTTGGAGTTATAGGGATGTGTTGCCGGTGTTCAGGGAGTGGGAGAACAATAAAAATGCTACTATTGTTGACAGTAATCCTGAATATCACGGAACTCATGGTCCGATTGAGATTACTTCACCACAAAATCCTGATAAAATTTATGCAATTATTGGTCAATCGGTTAAAGAGTTGGGATATAACTACACTGATATCAATGGCCCAAATCAAGTCGGGTATTCGGACACCCAGTTGTTCACAACATCTCAGGGTTACAGAGATAGTATGGGAACTATATTTGTAGACCCGAACCCATATCCAGATAACCTGCATATAGTGTGCAAAGCATTGGTCACTAAAATACTGTTCAATGGGTTGACAGCCATTGGCGTCGAGTTTATAGTGAATGACATCTCGTATACGGTTTACGCCAACAGAGAAGTCATTGTTTCCGCCGGTAAATAATTTATAAATATAATAAAATATATATTAATTTAATTTAATACAATAATTTTATAAATTAACCTTTTAGGTGCGATAAATACCCCACAGATTTTAATGCTATCTGGAATTGGGCCCAAACAACATCTGCAAAGCTTTAATATATCAGTAATATTGAACCTCCCGGTGGGCGACAACTTTGTAAATCATCCTAACCTAGAAGTCGACGCAGATATCAAACCCGAGTACTCGTACCTAATCAACGAACAAGGTGTAATCAATGCGCAACAGTTGAGTGAACTATATTACCACCATCGTGGTCCATTAGCCAGACAACCAACCGGAACATTAGCGTACAGCACACAACACAATCTAGACAAACAGTGGATTAACGTTAATTTATTTTTTCAAGTTGGTACTGGTGGAGTGTATACTACGTCCAATATGGTCAGGCCTAAAAGTAAGGGCACAATACGCTTGCAGTCGACTGACCCAACGATCTTCCCATTAATTAATCCAAAATGGTTGACCGATCCTGATGATTTAGTGAATGTGCTGGATGCGGCTATAGTGCAATTTTATATATTTGAACGGACACAATTAGCACAGTATGTACAGCCACTGCCATCATTTGCCTCTATAGGGTGTCCCGTCTGTCCAGACAAACGGTATTTATATGAATGCGTTGAGGGCTTGAAGTGTTATATCCGTTATAACACTCACACAGCCTTTCATCCGGCGGGCAGTTGTCGTATGGGAGCGATAGAGAAACCGGACGTTGTGGTCGACCCCCAGTTGAAGGTTAAGGGGGCCAACAATCTAAGGGTTTGCGACTCATCAATATTCCCAGTTATACCCAACGCCAACACCGCCTCCGCCTCTATTACTGTGGGCTATAAATGCGCGCAATTTATTAAAGATTATTATCATTTAAATTAATATTTTATTATATTATGTAACTCATGTCCAGTACATACATTTAGAATTATTTGTTAAATGTAAATGGTTATAAATTTATATTATATGATTGTAAAATATTAAATTAAAAGTTGTAATAATTTTTTATTAAATAATATATACAATTTTTAAATATCAAAATTGTGATTAAGAAACAATTTAATAAACTTGATTATAAATGATAATTAAGTACTAGAATTTGCACATGTAAAGTATGTTGATCTATCAAAATGAGCAACTCTGCTGTGCACTACACAGTGGAGCGAATGACTAAAACCAGTATAGAAGGCAGGCAGGATTATCAACAGATTATCTTAGCATAAAACAGTGCAATTTATTTAGCACCTTAATGTTAAAAAGGGTATATAAATAATTGCATATTGCAACTTTAAGTAAACAATTATATAATTATTAAACAATTATTATATTGTGACATAGTTTTTTAATATTATAAAGTAATATATATTGTATACTTTGTTTGGAAAATTCAAACAGATTTTTTTTACAAAATTGTTTACAAATTTGATTTTTTTGTTCACATATAATTAATATTTTAAAATTTTACAAAATTATATTGGGTTGCATGAATAAAAATTGTATAACCCCACAAACTATTTAAGGAAAATTAGCCAAGTGCAAAACAGAAATATTTATAAAATTAATGTCATAAACGTACAACACATTTTTTAAATATATTACTGTAGACATTAAATATAATGCTATAAATTAAGCAAAAAAATTAAAATATTTCAATATAAAATTATGCCAATTATAACGCCGTTTGCGTACAAACTATTGGCCGTCGCGTGGATTACAGCCCAACGACAGCTCATTCACGACAACACGTGTTCCCGAACTCAATGGCAAAGCAGTTATGACTTCATTGTTGTCGGCGCCGGAACTGCCGGTGCGGTTGTGGCCAACAANTATAACGCCGTTTGCGTACAAACTATTGGCCGTCGCGTGGATTACAGCCCAACGACAGCTCATTCACGACAACACGTGTTCCCGAACTCAATGGCAAAGCAGTTATGACTTCATTGTTGTCGGCGCCGGAACTGCCGGTGCGGTTGTGGCCAACAAACTCAGTGCCGGTCACACCGTAAGGGTGTTGCTGTTGGAAGCGGGATTACCTCAAAGTGCTGTTTATAATGATATACCAGGAATGACTAGTATGATTAATGTTAATCAATGGTATTTTTACAATGAGCCAAACCCTAACTTTGGACAACAATATGCCGGGGGTCGAGTGCCAGACCGCAGAGGCAAAACACTAGGCGGGAGTAGCGCTCATAATGGTATGATTTTTAATCGGGGTAATAGTCGTGGTTATGACGAGTGGGCCAATACGTACGGCGCCTTCGGTTGGAGTTATAGGGATGTGTTGCCGGTGTTCAGGGAGTGGGAGAACAATACAAATGCTACTATTGTTAACAGTAATCCTGGATATCACGGAACTCACGGTCCGATTGAGATCACTTCACCACAAAATGCTGATAAAATTATTTCAATTATTGGTGAATCTGCTGTTGAGTTGGGGTTTAATTATACGGATATCAATGGCCCGAATCAGATCGGGTTTATGGACACCGAGTCGTTTGTTACAACACAAGGTTTTAGAGCGGGAACGGGTAATGTGTTTATAGACCCGAATCCACACCCAAATAATCTTCATATAGTGTGCAAAGCATTGGTCAATAAAATACTGTTCAATGGGTTGACAGCCATTGGCGTCGAGTTTATAGTGAATGACATCTCGTATACGGTTTACGCCAACAAAGAAGTCATTGTTTCCGCCGGTAATTATAATATATAAAATTGTAATAAATATTTTAATATGTTTAAAATGTTTATTAAAATATTATTATATCCTAGGTGCAATAAATACGCCACAGATTTTAATGTTGTCGGGAATTGGACCCAGACAACATCTGGAAAATGTTGGTATACCAGTGCTGTTAGATTTACCGGTGGGTGACAACTATGAAAGCCACCCAAACCTTGGTCTGACTGTTAATATAAGGCCTGAATACTCTTATTTAATTAACGAGCCGCCAGAATTAAACGTAAAGCAACTTAGTGAACTGTATTATAACAAGAGTGGGCCACTGGCCAGGCATAATAATGCCGTAATAATATATAGCACACAACATAATTGGGACAAACAGTGGCCAAACGTTAATTTATTTATAAAACCAGTCGCTGGCACAATAGTGACCACGTCCAATTTAGTCAGAATCAAGAGTAAGGGCACAATAAGGTTGCAGTCGACTGACCCGATGACCTTTCCCTTAATTAACCCAAAATGGTTGGACGATGTTGATGATTTTATAAACTTGCTAGATGCGGCCAAAATGCAGTTTTACATATTTGAACGGACACAATTAGCACAGTATATACAACCCTTGCCGTCATTCGCCTCCATCGGGTGTCCTGTCTGTCCACTCAGACGATATTTATATGAATGCGTTGAGGGTTTGAAGTGTTATATCCGTTATAACACTCACACAGCCTATCATTCATCGGGCAGTTGTCGTATGGGAGCGATAGAGAGGCAAGGGTTGTATATACTGTGCTAATTGTGTCCGTTCAAATATGTAAAACTGCATTTTGGCCGCATCTAGCAAGTTTATAAAATCATCAACATCGTCCAACCATTTTGGGTTAATNTTGAGGGTTAAGGGGGCCAACAATCTAAGGGTTTGCGACGCCTCTGTGTTTCCCGTTATACCCAACGCTAACACCGCCTCCGCCTCTATAACTGTGGGCTATAAATGCGCGCAAATTATTAAAGATTATTATCATTTAAAATAATAAGTTACTATATAGTATTTTGTTGTTACTGTTGCTACTTTACATTCATGTATAATTATTATTATTTGATTTGATAATTGTACTTATTTAAATTTAATTAATGCTGTAAAATATCATATAAAATATTATTTATATTGTATGATTACAAGGTATTATATTAACTAAATTTATTTAATAAATTTTTAATGTATAAATTCAATTATTATTAAATTCATTTGATTATAAATGCTAAATAATTAATAGCATTTACACTTACTTTACATCTATACTAAATGTAAAATAAGATAGATAAGATAGATCTGTATTTACATCTGTACTGTAAATGTGTGTAAAATCAACTAAAACATTTGAACTAAATAGATAAAAACTAAAAATAAAACAAAATACAGTATGTTTACATATTGTGTCTTTTAGAGTTTTACATATTTTTAATTAACTTTTACATATTTAATTTAAAATTTTCCATAGACAATAATATTATGATTACTATTAGGCTAAACATGTAAGTATTTAAAGCTCACTTTGGCCTATTTTATACATAATGTATTTATAATTAAAAAAGTTCAAATCAATCACATTTTTACAATTTGTGCAAATGGTATTAAATAATGAAATATAATAATATTTAATATAATAATTACTACATTATTAAGTATTTAATTACCAATAATTGTATATTTGTTTGTTTTACAACAAACTTATTATTTTAGTCTAAGAAACTCTTTTAAAAACAATAGACATACAGGTATTACGTGATAAAATATGGTGCAAGTTCCTTTACTAACTTATAAACTACTTGTGCTCTCGTGGATTACGGCCCAGAGACAGCTCATCCACGACAGGACAGCCGGTCGTACACAATGGGACAGTGAATATGATTTTATAATAGTGGGCGCCGGGGCTGCCGGTGCTGTTGTGGCCAACAAACTCAGTGAATCAGTACGTGTGCTGCTGTTAGAGGCTGGAGGCCCTCAAAGTGCTATATATAATGATATACCAGGGATGTTTTTCAACATTTACCCTGCTAATGTAAACGAATGGGACTATTATAATGAACCGCACAGTAATATCGGTCAGGTATACGCCGGCGGTCGAGTGCCTGAGACTAAGGGCAAAACACTTGGCGGCACCACAACTCACAACGACATGGTTTTCAATCGGGGTAATCGTAAAGACTTTGACGAGTGGGCCAATACGTACGGCGCCGTCGGTTGGAGTTATAGGGATGTGTTGCCGGTGTTCAGGGAGTGGGAGAACAATACGGATCCATATATTGTGAACAGTAATCCCGAATATCACGGAACTCATGGACCTATTCAAGTGAGTTCGCCTAAAAGTCCCGATAAAATCCTCGATGTTTTTCATACAGTGGTTAATGGATTGGGATATAGAGATACCGACATTAATGGCCCCAAACAGGCCGGGTATATGTTAGTTGAGTCGTTTATAACTGGTCGGGGTTTTAGGTCTGGTGCGGGTAATAATTTTGTGGAC